ATCCTTGAATTTAGAATTTGTTTCAAGAATTTCAAAGAATTATAACATTAAGCTAAAACGTTATTGTATGTACATCGCAGTTTGAGAGTATCTAATGAATAGAGCGTGTCTTTTCAAACTTGAAGAGATTGAGATGGAAAGTTGGCGAACATAATTAGAATCTATTTCAGGAATGGCCGATATTCACCGGATGAGTCTTCCATAGCTTTATTGGAATGTCCAATTGGCGGATTCAAGTTTGATTTGTATGAACCAGAAAAAGAGCCTGTTAAGGTTCAGGTTGGTAGCCTTTTTTTTGTTATTTTTGACTTTTATTGCTCGAAATCCTGGAAATTAACCTCCATATGAGTATCTGAAGCTTTTGATTTGCCACGCTACAACTTTTTCTGAGATAATTTTCTCAACGCAAGCTAAAACCACTGATTTACATTCAGATTGAGCGTGGAACGTTGTTAAAACCTCTCTCGGAACTTGATGATCCTCGAGTGATCGCCTATCTGAAACGAGAGCAAGGTGAACTTCGACGAAAAGATGCGCTTTTGGGCCGTGACGTCCTTTGCTCCACTGTCTATGCTGTTGTTCCAAAAACCAACGTTATGCGCTTGACTGACGATCAGGCAATGTGGGTGATAAATTTTTATCATATATAGTAGGAATTTTTGCATGTTTATTTTTGTTTATTATTTTGTAATTTCTTGCTAATCGAGAATCGCTTTTATAAAGCAGCTGTCTACTTGTTCTTTTTTATCTTTCATTCATCTTTCGCTTTTGTTTTGTTTATTATGTATACGTTATACTAAATGGAGCTTTATCCGTTTTTTTTTTTCCTTCAAGAAATTATCTTTGCGCACTTTCCAAAGGGTTGAATGTTAAAACCTTGGAATCCTCTAGCTAGGCTCAAGAGGATTTTGCCATTTCTCTCATTAGACATTTTAATAACTCTTCATCTGTTGAACTTTTATGTCTTTTCAGGTTGCTGATCCTTGCCTTATCAGTCTCTT